CGAGGACTCTCCTGGGTGGGAAATCCTCCCCTTTTCGGGTGCTGGAAACTTTGACAGTGACTTCCAAGTGCTCAGGGCACCTTGCTGGGAACTGGTGTGGCTCCTTTTGCAAAGAGACATCTCCCGACTTGGTGCATGATTTCACCTACACGCAGCCCCTCGCCACCACCCCGGCTGTCAGGACGCTGGACGCTCTAAAACATTACCTTCTTGCAAATAGCTAGGAGGAATTTAAAAGTTGATTTCAATTTTTCTTTATCTTTGCACAAGGGATATAATTTTTTCCTGAGGTTATTTCTGTGGGAAGTTATTTGAAATAATAACGTCAAGGTCAGAACTTCGAATTTCCTCTGATGCAGAGACAATTCACATTGCCACACAAAATTAAATGATCTAGTCACAAAAAACCCCACAAACACCGGGCTTGCCCATTTTTAGCGGGTGCTGGTGCTTGAGCCCAGGGCCTCATGTGTACTAAGCATGTGCTTCACTACTGAGCCACACCCCCACCCCGATCATTTTTACATGTTTTGGGTTAGGTTTATAATGATACCTGGGTTCTTTAAGCTTGGATGTCCTCCGTCAGCCTGATACTCTCAGGGTGCACTCCTATGGGTGGCCATTTGACTTCTAACTCATTTCTTTGTGTAAATGGCATCTAGGAAGGTGTCAGGTGTCCTGGGCACAGTGGAGTGCACCTGTCTTTAGGCGGGCTATGCCGTCCTATGCCATGAATCCAGCTTTGCACATTAAGCAACAGAAGAGCTGAAGCAGGGGCGCTCCCGATGGCCTTTGGTGTGTCACAAGCCCCTGATGGGCCTTGGTGCATCGCACGACTGGCAGTGTTCTGAATCGGTCAGGCGCATGACAACCACTTCTACCTGCTGAGGAGGACACTGATGGGGGAGCAGAAAGGGGAGTGAGGGCAGGGGCTGTTGGCAGGAGAGCGTCCAAGATCCGCTGGGGTCCAGGGGTGCCCGAGGGAGGACCTCTTTCTTCCTCTGCGTGTGGGAACCTGAGTTTGGGTTCTGAACTGACTTTGCAAACAGAGGACCCCAGACTCAGCTGCTTCCTGGCTGCAGGGGCTGAGGGGACAGAGGAGAGCTCCCAGCAGGTGTTTCCAAGTAAGTCCTTGATGGCAGGACGGCATGGAGCGAGGGTCCTGCTGCTGGAGGGGTTGAGACACCCGGGGTGGAGCTGTGGGGCTGGGCTGAGCCGGAGGTTCAGGGACAGAGCAGAAGAAGAGCAAAAGTGCCTCAAAGTGCCTCAAAGCCAGGCTCTGTTTGAATAAAGTCAAGGAGATTATGGGGTCATTCTCGCTGTGGCAGGCACTTACATAGGTAGCAAGGATGGCAGGTGCCTCTGTTGAGATCCTAGCTGGCATCTCCTGGCCACCCCAGCAGAAGGACCCTGCAGCTGGACGGGAAGAAAGATCTCTTGACAGCAAGCACCAGCTCATGTGCGTGCTCTCACTCTCTCTCTTTATCTCTCTCTCTCTCTCCCTCCCCTCTCCCCATCTCTCTCTGTCTCTCTCTCCCTCCCCACCTTTCCCTCCCCCACATCTCCCTCTCCCCCTCCCTCCCTCAGTCTCTCTCTCTCTCTCCCTCCCTCCTCATCTCTCTCTCTGTCCCTCTCTCACTCCCCCGCCCCATTGGCTTTGCATTCCTGCCCTCCTGCCTGAGGCCGCCTGCTGGACACTGCACCCTGTGTCCACGTGGCTGGGTGCACACCTGTGCATTAGGAGTGGAGGGAGAGGGAAGAGGGGGCCGTCATCCCAGCTCAGAAACAAGGAGGACTTCAAATTCTGAGTTCACGTGTCTAAGGCTCCGTTCCAAGAGCCAGTTCTGCCTCTGCACAAGCAACCCAAGTCGGTGTCCCCCTGGTCGGTGGGCAGATGGGGGGCAGGCAGGCCTCCTGGTGACATGGGTCTCAGCCCTCAGGTCAGACGGTTCATCGGAGGTGGTGCCGTGGGCAGCGTCTGTGGGAAAGGCTCATTTGGGCTCACAGTTCAGAGGTTTCAATCTGTGGTGTCTTGTTCCCACTGCTTTGGGACCTGTGGTGAGGTAGAATGTCACACGGGAGTCACCTCTGGGGTTGGCATGCTCCCAAGGACCCGAGCCCACCTCCTAGGGCTCACCACCTCCCAACAGAGCCGGAGGCGGGGACCAAGCCTTCAGCATGTGGCCTCTGGGGACACTGCACATCCAAGCCACAGCAGGGTCGCATTCTCAGGGAAGCTCTTAAGAGTCATTTAAGCGTCCCTCGTGGACAGAACATCCCAGAAACCTGGCTTCATGGCCAGGACACAAACCTGAACCGCTGACCGTCTGTGTCGACGGGAACTTGGCCCTGCTGCTTCTTGCACACGGAGGAGCGGAATTCCTCATCTCCCCGGGCTGCAGGAGCACTGCCCAGTGTGGCCCTCGTCATGACCACCGGGTGTGGCCCCCGTCCTGACCGCCCAGAGTGATGTCCTTTCACTCCGGGCCTCTTTCTTGGCCATTAGTAATTT